GTGATCAAAGCTCTTTTGTATGCAGATGATATCATATTATTAGCACGTGATGCAATTAGTTTACAAAAACACCTTGGTACTTTGGCTAGCTTTTGTACTCAAAATCAGATAGAATTCAATTTAAAAAAAGTCAGAAGTCATTATTGTGGGCACTAGATCCAAGTTTTCTCTCTTTTATAAAGGAATTTTTAGAACTGGAACAAATGAAGAGTTACAAATATTTAGGCATCAATTTATTCTCACAATTATAGTTGGACATTTTGTGTGCAAAAGAATGTAGAGGCTGGTTACAAAGCTCTTTATTCATTGTTAAACCTAGATTAGCTCTTCTACATCTAATCTAGTGTGTTAGAGTCTTAGGTAATTTTTGTTGAGGAGCTTAATGTTACCGGTGGTTTTATGTGATTACAAGTGTGGGCACCAGGTTGTAAGAAAACAGGTTGGGAGCATGTGAAGAGGGTGCAAAAGATCTTCTTAAAAGAAAAATTAGGTGTAAGGAACCAAACTTCTTATTTTATTCCTCTTGCAGAAACATGTTGTCTACCTTTTGAGGTTGAAGCTCTCTACTTAACCATCACTTATATTAGAAGGGTGAGATCTTTTGATGCTTTTCAACTTACTCTTCATGCTTTGCGTGCCACACATTCCAAGGGATGGTTTGCAGATGTGATGACTTGGTCTTTGAGGTGGAATGTGACGAAACTTGATTGGAATTTGCAACCTATGGCCCTTCGCAAGCAAATTAAGGAGGAATTTCTTAACATCAATTGGAGCAGACAAGATACCAAGATGAAGTTCTATCAACTTCAAATGAATCCTATGCTTATTTATTGTGAGCAAGGATACTTTGTTGCAGAGATCTCTACATCTTTACGTCATATTATTGCCAAGCATAGATTAAGATCTCATAGACTTGGAATTGAGTAAAGACGTTGGTTGAATATTGATAGTACTAAACGGTTTTGTAGGTTATGTGATTGGAGAAATGTTGAACATGAAGAGCATGTGTTTCTTACTTGTACTATATATATAGAAATTAGAGTGACTCATACAGTTGTTGTTGAGAATTTCTTCTCTATGTTTCAGCTTGAGTCTTATGATTTAGGTTATTACATTAGAGATGTTATTACTTACCGTTCTAGTGTTCTTGGCACTAGCTAGGAGGTTCTTTTGATTCTCTCATAGGTTGGAGTTTGTTGTTTGTATTGTGTTTTTCAGCCTTTTGACCCTTTGGGTTTCTCGGGCTTGATCTATTTACCATTAAAAAATTCATAATCTCTTCATATCTTATGATCTTAAAAGAGAGACTCAAAATGAATAATTTTATTCTAACTTAACGATTTTAGAATTTTTCAAAGATAAATTTTGTGATTTTTATTCAAAAAGTCATGTGTTTTGATCGAATTTTTGCAATTCTTAATTCAAACAGAATAATTTCCATACATTACATCAAATTATTTTTGTAAATCATCAAAAAATCCTATTAATTATTTAATATTTTTTAGATTATCATATGATATGATTTTTGAAAAAATTATCATTGAATTCAAATAAAAATCTTGAATTTTATATTTTACTTCATGTGAATAACAAATCTTGAAATAGAATTTTATCATTGCAACATCATGATGTACACATCTTCACATTTTTAAATATCATCGATAAAAGATATATTTACATACATATTATATAAATTATTTTTATATAGTTTTCGAGATTAAATAAAAAATATTGATACATTTTTTTAAAAAGTGGATTTTATACATGAATTCAGATTCTATCAAAGTAGTTGATTTACATGATCAAAATGAAACTTATGAGGAAAAATTCGAAAGTATTGATACTAGGTTTATATTATATCATTTTGTATCCAAAGTTTATCATACTGAAAAGTCTGTATGTGAATGTGCAAAAATTCTTAATGTCTATGAATTTTTTTTAGATAAGCAATGCATATAAGTAATAATTGTGTAGCTTAATTACGAGGTTGGAATTGGTCTTCAACCTTCACTGGATTTTTTTTACTATCTTGCTGATAATGTTTTTCAAAAAAAATTCATATATCTTATTCAATACATCTGAAAATTTTCATAAATTGGCATGTTTAGAACTGTATAGTGAAACGTATGGATGTACAATGGTGTCCAAAATGTCTTTTGATATTTAGAAAGTACAGTATCGAATTTTTTTTTATCATAGTTTAGGAACAACTTACTAATACAAAAACATACATGTTAAACAATTATATCTAATCAAAATTTACCAAGACATTCAAGATATTTTCATGATTTTTTTCATAGTATGCAACTTAAGTGCTATCATACATCTTAGATTTAATTTTTTTAATAATAGTTTAGTTTCTTAGTGTCTAATCCCAAGCCAACCAAGCTTAAATTCCTGGGTTTTAACTGAACTACACTTTCTGTCTTTAATTCATAAAAAATTTGGAATTTTATTTTTATTTTTAAAAAGAACTTCTCAAAGCATAACCTCACCATGGAAATCTGAACCAAGATTGGAAATCATATATTTTATTGCTTTCGACCACTAAAATCCATTTACTTAATAAAACTTTCGCATTCAGTCTAAGAATGTGTTTCTTATTTCCTTGAGAACTAGTTTGACCTTCAGTCAGTTTCTTCAGCTTCGTTGGCCTGTTGACAAGTATAATTAATTTGTTGTTGATCTTGTGCAGAAAGAATGTCATCGTTTGTCGGCATGAGGACTGAAAGCTTGGATATATGTATACAAAATTTTCAACGGGTGGCACATAATAGAAGGGTATGGATCGTCTGCTTTTCGAATTGCTGCTACGGAGAAGATCGTGAAGAAAATCGAAAACCTTCCAAACCTCTACTCTGCTCCTGTTTTCTTTACCCAACTTTCTGCTTAAATATTTGTCCAGACGCTTGATTTTCATCTTGCATGGCAGCCTCTCCGTGTGCCACGATTACAAAGGTTTCTCACATCTTGCACTTGCTTGTAATTAGATTGAGATTTCCATGCTTTCAGAATAGGATATCTTCATTACATGCACAAATCACAAAAGGTCTGTGCACTGTCACTTTCTGAAGACTGGTAGAGAAGTCTGTCGTCTCCAAATTCTACTTTCTCTTCACGAAGTAAATGCTACGAGACTGGTGAGGATCGATCTCCTCATGAACGACTCCTTTCTCTTGTTGCCTTGCATTCTAGGAATATGGTCGTTCCTACAATATGTCAGCATGGGAGATCAGATATCGGCTTTCAGTTTTCTGTAGATGCACAAACCCGGTCTTTGCTTCAGCTTCTTATTCAAGATATAAGTTGCCCTGGTTCATGTCGTTCCATAGCCCAGGTCCAGTTTGTGTAATGAGTAAACGAAGCTGGTGATTACATGATGTCTTAGACACTCTCTCACTCCTTTGTTGGTATTGACTTTTTGATGTGAACAGACAGGCCTGCTGGATTGGGCTGGCCTGATAGAAACCCGTCTCCAAGTCCTGCAGGGAGCTTGGCAAGTTCAGGGTTTGATGTTGTTGTGTTCAATGTTGAGTCAGGAAGGTGAGCATAATGAGAGAAGGCTGGTTTCGGGCCAACGATGTCCACAAGATGTCGTATTTCGAGTAAGAGGTACTAATGGAGAGGCCAAAGAAACGATTCTAGATGCATAGACACTTGCTGTTCACAGAAGGGATCAGTTCTCGCTTTGTTAGCCTGTTCTGTGATTTCCTGAGGACGGGTTCATGGTATGATTGAATGAGTACAAACGAGCCTGATCCAGGGCCCGGCCCGTTTTAATGTTGTAAAGTAAAGTAAAGTGATGTCGGAGATCGGAGGATGGCCAACTACTGTGCTGCACAGCATAATTCCGTCGATAGCTGTTTTTACGATGTTTTTTCGAGAGCCTCAAATCCTTCCACACGGGCCACCCACCAGCGCCACGCAATGTCTGAGTGGCCATTCGTGCTCTCGGTGAACGCATTGATTGAGCACACGACGAAGAGCGACAGAGACGCGAAGATTTCAGGTAGCTCGCATCATCTGAAGCGCGGGCCGACTGACTGACCGACCGACCGATCGATCGATAGATCAGCATGGGAAGATATGGCGAAATCTCGATCGCCCTATCGTTGGGACGCCACGGGCTTCATTCACACGGAATGTCACATCTTGTTTCCAACGTTAACCGGTGGTGCACTTTGCGGGGCAGATTGTTCATTAATGGCGATTCAGGGATGTGGAGAACTCGTTCACAGGATCCCAACTCCGGTGGGACCACGGCATCTCGTCGTTACCGATCATCGTTGAGCTGAAGACATTCACCCACCACAGCCCATCAGGTTCGTTGTCTCTCATGCGGAAGCAGAAGCAGACTGGCTGGGAGCTGATTCAATAAAACCCAAGCAGGCTCAGGTGGGCAGAGCCTTGCACAACCCAACGCGTTACGAAAGCATCTCGTACCACTGACAAGATAGGATTGGAGTTCATAATGACCCGACGTTAGTCATCGACAATCGCCTGAGTCACATGGCTGGCGAAGAGGAGCGGAGGCAGCCCTTGCAGCACGAGCTTCGTTGGTGCATGAACAGGGCGGGAGTCCACATGTGATGGATGTCACGTTCATGGGAGTCTAGAGATACAGCACCTTGTGGCCTTAAAAGCCAGCTGTGACCTGTGGGTGTAATTGAGTCGCTAGCAACGAGAGCTGGACTTCATAATCTATGATAATCTATAGAAGATGACTTGACTCGGGACATTAAATGCACAGGGCAAGAGAGTCCTTCGGTAGATCTTCGAAGGAGCTACCCTGGCTATGATCACGCGGTTATTGTGCAACTCGGTGTGTCCATGATTCCATGTCCGTCTCCATGTTAGGCACGCATTCTGCGTCATAATGGTTTTCAAGTTCGGCTATCGGAGTCTTTAACGCCCAATAGTGAATCAAGGTGGGGACTCAGGTGTCTTTTCGAAGACGAGCCCAGACGACAGGACATTGTTCTTCGGCCGAGTGGGCGGGAGTGAGGAGCTGAGGGGGCCGGTACCTCCATTGAAGGGCGAGCACAGGACTGGGCTCTGGCTGGCTGTCTGGCTGGCTGGCTGCGTGCTGCAACAGGGTCGTGTGTGCTGGCGAGGTGAAGGTCCATGCGTGTAGACCGCATCAAGGTTCTTGACATCAGACATGCCTGCATTGACGCAACACAGAATGGTTAATAGCTGAGTTCATGGCTTCAGGTTCCGCTGCGGAGTCGTTACCGACTTATTGCCCTGCTTTGTCCTGTCAGAGGGCCAGCTGCACAAGGCCTCAGGGAGCAGCCTAACATTCTTCGGGCCTGTGGGACCCGGGGACTCTCCAGCAGGCCTCTCAAGTACACATCGGGTTCTCCGGGTGTCGTTGATCAGAAACTTGAACCACAGCTTACTATGTCGTGGCCTGTGATACAGCATATCAGCGCGTCGCACAGAGATGAAAGAAAGTAGATTCTTGGATGATCACAGTTCTTTCATACTGGTATCCAATTATGCGGACCCAGCTTTTATAGTAATAGGGATTTGCTTTGATAAGGAAACAATAGATTTCTTCTCAATGTCGGTGAGTGACACGTTTTTCCTTTCGATCTATGCACTTAGTGTGGCACTTTCTCTCACTATTCCAGGATGGCTTTCTCTTCACACTTCAAAGACGCAAGTAATTCTCTACTGAGGCCAAGACTCCTAATTTCTCCGTTTCAAATGGAGAACTCTATGTATGCTACAAATGTCCGACCAAACCAATCAAAGAATGTGGGTGGGTGCAGAGAGGTTGTGGAAGAACCCAAGGAATATGCTCTTAGGTCCAAAAAATTGGAGGCTCTTAACCTCCTCTCCCTAACAAGCTACCTCTACAATGCCTACTGTAACCACGGTGTGTTAGGTGAAAAGCTCGCTGCCGAGGGTCACGGTGGTTGCTCCTTCACCACCCCCGGAAGTAAGACCCCTTTCCTTTTCCAGAGCCTCTTCAAGCTCTTTGACTACTTCAGCCATGGACGGTCTTCTATCTCCGGTTTCTTCCACGCAGTGAAAGCCCACCTCGACCATTTTTCTCATGGCTACCTCCATAAAACTTGAGCCCAATGTGCGGTCCACCAGTGCACCCAAGTCTCCTGCCTGGAGAAGACTGCGTCCCTGCGGCATGACACCAAAAGTCAGACCCAAGATGTTGGATTACGACATGATATAGAAAGGGCGAATTTGATCCCTGACAGTCAATCTAAGTAATGACTTACCCACTCTACTAAGCTCCACTCAGATCGTGGCCGATCTTGCGAGATAGCCTCCCGTCCACTAACAAGCTCCAACAGAAACACTCCAAAACTGTACACGTCGCTCTTCTCTGTTAACCTTTGAGTAGTATAGTATCTGCAAGAGGAAGGGTAAACATATCAGATGACAAATGGAACTAGGCTTTAGTGTCTCAAATCGACTCGTGATTCCGTCGCTAACTACTGGACCAATTGATGAAAGGACTTCTTTTGCGGACCCTCGAGTGTTCAGCTTGAGATCTTACTCTGGATCTAGAAATCCTGCTGTCCCATCACCATTCAAAGATGACAAAACGGGGCCCTCTTGCGGATGCGGTCCCTCTGCCAGAAGGAGAGAGAGTCCGAAGTCTGTGACCTTGGCAACTAGATAGGCATCCAGCAGGACATTGCTGGTCTTGAAATCCCGGTGTATCAACTTAGGCGTCGTTGTATGCAGATACTCTAAACCTGTAATAAAGCGTGGACGCCGATCAATAAAATGTACATCCGTTCACAAATATCATATGCTACACACTTAAGTAGTTCAAGGCACTGATCTCAAAAGAATCCCAAAACATAACAGGAGGGATTAGACGTCTTTTACCTTTAGCGGCTCCCAGCGCTATTGCCAGCCTCTGTCTAAAGTCAAGCTTACCGACAGGTGCTCCGTTATCATCTAATTTGAAACATGCGATCGACATAAGTTAGGGGTCACTAAGACAAATAAAGAGCCGAAATGAGACACAAGCTCGGCAGGGAAAGCAATGCAAATATCGGCACGCTGTTCGATGAAAGTTTCTCAATTTTAGTTCACTTGCTCTCTATACTATTTTTCTTCAAAATAGCTCAACGTCGAATAAATACAACATCAAGTATATCACAGTCCGTCAACACAGTGAAACACGAATTCAGGTTCAGATATGAGGTAGTCCAGACGCGTTGATAGGGGGATTGAAGCGAGATCACATTGCTCAGAACACGGTATCAGGTACGCGGTATTATATACCATAAAGATGACCGCAGACGCTCCCGTTCGGAAGATAGTCATATACCACTATTTGTTGATCATTCTCCTGACAGAATCCAAGGACATTCACGAGGTGTTTGTGCCGCATCCGTGACAAAAACTCGACCTGAGGGCCAAGAGAAAACATGAGAAACGACGACATAAGTGGGGATAGAAGCCACTATGAGGATTACAATTCAACAGCTGGTAATGGAGACAGGAGCCAACAGCGGGTCTGCACATGATGGTAAAGTTTCCCAAGAACTTGGATCATAAGGAGGGTGTGACAAATAGAGGAGAAAAAGGAAACAGAGCCTACCGCTGCTTGAAAATCTTGAGTGGCTGCTCCTTGCCGTCCTTTGACTGCGACGATTGTGCCATCCTCAAGCAGGCCCTTATAAACCTCGCCAAATCCTCCGCGGCCGATTTTGTTGTTCGCACTGAATTTTTTGGTGGCATGCTCTAGCTCCTCGAGACTAAAATATCTGGCTTTCGACGTATCCGACTCAGGCGCTACACTCCTCGCAATTGGTCCCTCCGGACCCTTTGCCCAATCCACTGCTCAACGTAGTTGTTGGTTAGAAGCTTGTGGTAAGAATTTTTTGAAAGAAATAAAACTGAAATGGTACGAAAGAGCCATTTACAAAAGGATCGTACACTCGAATCCAGTTGATGTGGGTCTCTCGTGCAAACAGTGTTATTAGTGACAACCAATTATTGAGTTGACGTTTAAATACTAGCGAGCAGCTGCCTCAGTACCTTGGGCCGACGGGTCTGATGAACCGGTGTCAGAGGTCGCACTGGGCCAGCTCTTGGCACGCAAAAGACAGCAAGAGACCAAAACAATGGTTGCAATCACCAAAGCCAAAGCACCAGCGACACCTCCGGCGATGGCCGCTACATGGACACCTCTCTTTGAAGATTTCGGTATGGACGCGACAGGCCCAAAGATTAAAGCAGGCGCCAGGCTTGGACCGCATACAGGAAGGTCGAAACCCGGAGTTAGTGTACACAGTTCGTTGTTGCCATCAACCCTGCACAGCACAATCGTACGTTGATCCTACTTGTGTCACAACAAGGGCAGAAAGAATGCACAGCTTCCTAAATGATTTTGGATGATACATAGAAACAAAGTGGAAGGCTGAGGCAGTGCGTAAACTTACACAATGTTGATGACTCCGGCAGTTGACGCATTGAAAGGCACAGTTCCACTAAGGTCATTGTTGGACAAATATCTGATATCAAGAAAATTGTTAGATTACAAGAGTTCACCAGATATCACAGAATCAATAAGCCGGATCCAGTGATATTCTAATACCACATCCAATAATTCTTTGCCAGCATGTAACACGGTGAGAATTTCCCCACATTTCAATCCTGTCGATGTTTTGATGCATTACATATTTATTCCATAGTCCATTCCGTAAATGTTGCTCTCGTCCCTACGAAAACTACTTATGCGTGACCTAAACTTCAAGTTTTTTCCCAAATTTGTTACTAAGTGAGAAGGTGACGGGGACCAAGATATACTTACAGTTCCCTAAGGTTAGATAGCGAAGTAAGGCTGGGGGGAATGCTTCCATTCAAAGAATTGTTAGCTAGGCGCCTGTTTCAACATGGACAGACATTCAAAAGACATTAAGAATCAAACACGTGACCAGGTGACAAGTAAAAGCAGTAGACGATAACTTGTGACGCTGCCGATAACAGACGTGCAAGTCGTTGGCAGAAGAGGAGAAGCTAGGGAGCCATATATAACACGGGATGAGTGACAACGCTGTGATCCCAGGAACTCGAGGGCAAGTGACTGTGTTGGGAGAAAGAAAAGAAGATATGACTAACTTTGGTCTTTTATCACATCCTGAAACACGATAGCTTTTTTTCTACCTTCATAACCGACAACAGGTTCAGGGAATGGCAAAAAGCTTACAGCGAAGTTAAATTCTCCAACTTGCCCAAGTCAGAGGGAATGGGTCCTCTTAAAGAATTTGAGTCCAGCCACCTGCACATAAAGCCATTGTGCAGACATAAAGCTCCCCTACTGCAATGATGGCAAGCAAGAGCCGAAATTGTTGAGAGTACATGAGGTTTGCTAATCATCACACGGCGAGCACGCGAAGGTTTGACTGCAGTATGATCTCAGTAGTATCTTCTGAGTTATTCTTACAGCTGACATAAATGACCTCAGAGGATAAAGGGCTCTGCTTCATGTTTTAATCCATCTGAGAAGATTCGGGACCACAACGGAAGATGAAACACGAAGAAATTTCTAGATGCAAAGTTGGTACTTACAACGTGGTCAAGGTTATCAAGTCCCCCAGACGAGGGGTTATCGTTCCATCGAGACCGAAATTAGACAACTTGCTGAGGGACGCCATGCACACAGACAATCCAGATGTTACCCAACTGTCACTCGAGAAATGCATAAAGAAGGACATGTACGAAAAATGAAACGAATGACGTACTGCCTACCATCAGTAAACGACGTCTATTGATCCAACTCTTCAGGTATCGAAGTCCCGGTTGGCAAGGGACATAAGACTTACAGAGAGGTTATGACACGAGTTTTGCCAATGGTCGAACACTCGACACCCTTCCACTTTCCTTTACAAGGATCTCCGATAATCCAGCTACTAAGGACAGGAGGATTCTTCACTCCGTTTTTGAAGGCCAAAAGAGCGTCCACTGCGTAAAAACACATCCCACTAATGAGCATATGTCTATGATCGACCGTTAAAATGTGCGCAGATCCACAAATTCTCCTGGCGTCCTTCCAAGACGGGAAAGAGAAAGGTACGCGCCGAGAAAGTGACAAGATAGAATTAAAAGCCACGTCTACGTCTTCATATCCTTTATCCTCCCTGCTCTAGTGCTCAAAGACCTCCGCAGCCTCAAGAGCACCTTCATGATAAACGACTTTCACAAAGTATACACGGCGCAGCTGTGGGTGAAAGTAATTCTAAGAATTTTAAGAATCTAGCCATCACCGAAATCATCCTAGAGAATCTACTGCAAGAATGCCGATAGGAGATTGATAAAACACGGAGGATCCAGTAATCAATTTTGAAGACAACGCAGCCGTTGACATTACAAGAATTGCCACCTACGATCCTCTAGGTAGAACTGTCCAAATTAATCTGTCCGACACTCGCGTCAGATTTCGTCGCTTGCAAAATACGCTTCAACGCTTTGCCAAATTGTGTTACAGCCGAGCGGGATAGACGGGTACCTGTGGTTTGCTGATAAGTAGTGAGAGCTGCACAGGGGCTGAACAGCAGTACAATGAGCAGCAGATAAAACACGTTGCTCGGTGTGATGCCCGTAAGCCTAGACTGCCTAGACGAATCGCGGAGTCTAAAGGAGAACACTAATCTCGAGTGCAGTTGCCCAATCTGCATGGTGCTGCACACCTCCGAGCTGCTACCGATCCGTCCAACCCAGTGGCGTTGTGTCTCCTTTCCTCGCAAGTGAGCTCCTCCGATTCGCCATCATTTACACGCTAACACGGAGCAGCCAATCCGCTACCATTTTTTGAATTTTTCTCTCTTTTTCCAGAGCATTACTATGCCTCGAGTGGTCGCGTCGTCGTCGCGCGCAGAATGCCTCTTCACATTAGACCAGACCAGCTAGCTAGCAAACCAACTATCAGCGTCGTCGTCCTCGTTCCCTGCCCTAACCATGTCTCCAAGCGCCCGGCCTCACTCGCAAGATTCATACAACTAGCACGCTCAATCGAAGCTCGGCGACATAATAAGACACACGCACACTTCACAGCACCATCCTATCCGCAATAGCGCCTTGCGGCCCGCACCGCACCGCACCGCACCTCAGCGCTCGCTCAATCCATCATTCCTATTCCCTGGCGACCTCGGGACGCAGATTTGCACACCCAGCTAAACCAGAATCGTGCCCGCGGTCCATGTCAAGAGCGCCCCTCGCGACTCCTTCTACAGCACCAGCACCAGCAGCCAACATTGCCCGGCGACAGTCGTCCTCCTGGCGCTCCTCCATACAGTTGCTCGCTCCTCCTCCTCCTCCTCCTCCTCGCCCCGCCCCTCAGCTCGCATCCGCCCCGCCCGACCGCATCCCCGATGCAGTCACAGCCCGCAGCTTATCGAGCATTTCGTCAGCGGCATTGGGAGCGAGCGAGCGAGCGAGCCCTCGACCAGAAGATCACTCGCAGGGAAGGCAAGGCAGACGCCCGCGGCCTCGACGAGCAACGCAGACGAGGAGCGTCGAGCGGCCCGTTGTCGGACCGGCCAGCCCAGGGAACGACGACCGACGACCGACCGACGCCGGTAAACTGGCACGCTTTCCCGGCAATCGAAAGGCCCGGTCTCAGGGCCAGCAGCGTCGGAGGCCGGGACGCTTTGAGCGAGAACCGGTCCTACGACGCACGTGGGGTAATGCGATGCAATGTCCCGGTCGTGGCCAGCCCTGGACGCTAGTACGGTTCCAATCGCCTCCATGGGCATGGACGTCATGAGCTGGAGGTCGATGCTCATCATCAACATCCTCATCCTACTACTGTACTGTACGTAGGCCGAGGTCGCGACCCGCCCGTATAGTGTACTGTATGCGTATGCATGCATGTGTATGAGTGTGTCCAGTCACCAGTGGACTCTCTATGCCCGACTGGAAGGCGCTACGTGTATGCACCTCGCGTACTTAAGAACGTCAACCGGCCCAGAACTTTCGTTAGAAGAACAGCACGGCTTTACTTACCGTGGGGGTGGACGAGTGGTGTATCCATCGGCTTCGGTTCAGACTTCGGTACAGTAGAATTTATTTCCCGGGAATCTGCAGCGCAGCGGAATCTTTTACTCGGGTCTAAATCGGGTCAGATTGCGGTCGCGGTTAAAGTGAACCACGGTTAGCGCGATCCGAGGGAGGGAAAGGAGTGAAGGGCCGAGCACTGCGTCGGCATTGTTGCTGTTCGATCGAGCTTCATGGCGAATGCCAAAGCGTCGGCCAATGGGCCGCACAACAATTCAAGTTCTGCTTTTGCGCCTTCAATGTCCGATTTTCCGTGTCCTGGAATCGCCTCCGGCTCCAACCACCAGCTCTAAGAACTCGTTGGCCGAAGCTTTTCTACGTCGCGAGCCTGCAATGATGGCGACGGGCTCTGTTTATGAGCATGCGGCCAAACGACTTTGGTTGGAAGGTAGGCCATAAAGTTCATCCTCCTCTCGCTGTCTGTCGCCGGGAGGGAGGGAGGGAGGGAGGGAGATCCATGGAGGCCGCAGTGAAGGCTCGTGGATTACCGCCCGATGGCTCGAATGTTTGATTTCTTCGCCCGGCCCCGTGTTCGAATCTGGGCTCGACCCCGCGTATGGCGCACTGGGGTCCCGGTTTGCCTCCACTGGAGGGCAAATCAGTGCCCGCAACAGCGGAGACCACTGCGGGTCGAAACATGCGGCTGAAGACAAGCCCCAGATTTTAAAACCACAAATAACAAGAGATCGAAAAACATCGTGCCCTAGAAGATTTTTGTTCAAACGTCCACCTGTCATTTGCGTGAACTTGGACATCTCGAATCGGAATCGTCATGGGTCCGGGTCATGCTAACCTCCTTCTTTCTTGCATACGGGAGTGAGTGAGTGGAGGAAGAAGAAGAGACGAAGAGGAGGAAATTCATGACTGCTCTCCTCAGCTTCTGTTTGGTTCGGCCAAAATCTCACCATCTCGCCTCAATCTTTGCGTCGGCCTTGTGGTCACCACGAGGCAGCCAGCCACGCGAATGAGGACAATATAACCGACATGTCTCCGCAACAACAAGGTGCTTCCTTTCTTCAATCATTTTTGCTTTCCTTTTGGCAGATTGGCACTACCCTTCATCTAATGATTATACTGAATCTTGCCTGCCTGCCTGCCTGCCCTGCCCTGCCCTGCCTCAAGGACATTGTCTTAACCGTGTAAGAACTGTATGATGCATCATGTGGGACGTGGAGACATTGTCTTCACCGCGTACAAGCTGTGTGATCTGTGTGCAATCTAAAAGTGCGGAGATGGTTTGGTCATGCTCTCAAACGCCAAAGTATGGTCTACTCCCATCAAAGATCCATCGACAACGAGGTAACCACAAAGCCAACAGAACCACTGCAGGTGTTTAACCATGACCGTATTACTTGGCATTCATCGAATTTCAATTGTGCCATTCTCATGCAAACATTCAATTCCACTTTCAACACATATCCCACAACTGCACATTGTCTGTGTGCGAGCCAAACCTTGAATTTGGATTCAAAGAACTTCCATCAGAACTTCACTCATCATGCGGTTTATGTCGAGCACTAAGATCCCATTGGGATTTATATCGAGGCTTTAACATGCTCGTATTAGAGACATACATATACACACTGCATAAGCTCTACTTTATTCTTTAGTCCGAGGAGTAATAGAAGGCCATTTCCAATTTTCTCAACTTCAATGGGCGTCAATGTGAGACATGCTGCTTAACAAGAAGGATTGTTTTTTTTTCTTTGGCTTGGGATCTGCAGTAGTTCAAATCTTTCCTATTTTACAAATACTAAGTGTCATTTATAATCATTCTATTAAAGAAATGAAATTATTTCGAGGCGTGCTGTGATTAGCTGCTCTTGATGAAAAATCTACCATATTTTGCTCTGTTTAAGTTTATTTATTTATTTATTTTTGGGACAGCAGTTCAATTCTAACGATCTCGAAAGGGCTGCACCATAGCTTCTAGCACTACGGTACACCTCTTTAGTATTCGGCCACTCCGAAGACCAAAGGAGAAGTCCCACACTCTACAGATGCATAGAACGTCCTTTCGTTTTATAAAAATTATGGATGCTGTTTGTACACTTTTTACCTTTTGATCACACCCCCTTCGACTCCTAAGACTCAAAGATGACGACGGCTGCTGTGTAATGTTTATTGTATTTCTTATGAATCAAATGTTTATTTTTAGGAGAAAATCACTGATTGAAATAAAGAGGAAAACTGCATTTTGACGAAAACAGTTTCTTCTGACCCGGGAGAAAAAGTAGGAAATGATTCTGTCTCTCATTTTTATCCCCTTTCGAAATTGAAAATAAAAATTATTTAATACGATAAGCTTTTTCCAGTCCGCACTCGTCAACAGCAACATGGTTTTAAAATCTGGGACGAATGTAGAGAAGAATCATGGAACGCAAAGAACAAAGTACGGAAGATACCGAGGGAGGGCGTGGAGGGGCATTCACATGGAAACAAATGTTGTTTAAAGGGAGGCATATAGAGGTTTCAAGTCAACAGGCGGATCTGGGGGCCACCTGGTTTCATGTGAAGGTAATTAAGGTGTGCAGTGCAGGTTGACAGTGAATCCAACCGTTTGGCAACAGGTTCGACCCGCTATCCGTGATCTGAACGAATCGTACAGAATCTCAGGCTGCGTCTTTTTCAGGACATTTCCCGTGACTCACCGGTCCTTCGGGTCAAAATGCCAGAGGCGCTTTCTCCGAAGGCAAGGAGGATCTGCGCGCCTGCTATTTTGAATCACGCCGTCTGTAAGTCCCGTCCCCGTACAAACAGACAGAGACAGATACAGATACAGATACAGAGAGAATCGTTGGCGATCCCGAGCTCTGAATGAATGAATTCAGGACTCGTTCAAAGTGTGCCACGACGACGAGGACGAGGACGAGGTCGAGAAGGAGAAAGGAGAAAAGGATGCATGGAAGTCAATCAGTCCTCTCGACACAACACTTATCCAGCGAGCTCCGATCATTCTTCAGGTCGCTGGAGCTGGGGCTGTGGACTTTCTGGCGCCAACTCGATCGGAGGCTCTGGACTGTAGCGAGAGTTCCAGAGTCTCACGCCACTTTTTGCTCGTTTGGAAATATGCCGCTAACAATAGCCTGATAGAGCAAATGCTGAGGCAAGCTTATAATAGCCAATCTCCATCTCCATCTCCATCTCCATCTCCTCTTCATCCTTGTCTTCTCTTCTCGTCTCGTCTTGTCACCCGACTCCCTCCCGTTGGCGCAAAAGACGATCGGCGTTAGCATTTGGGAAACTTGCGGTCGAGGAGCAAAACCGCCATTTGGACCTGCGCTTCGAGAAGCGTTTTATGACCCTTCTTAAGACTTCTGACAAACATCAACGAGTCTATTTCTGCACGAGCTTCGTGCGTAGCATAACGTAAAGGTCTGTGAAATTTATCCTTCTTTCTAAGGAAAATTGCCCTCCTCTCGCCATCTCTCTGCGAACATACCTCGAAAAAAAAATTAGATCTGAAGGTCGAAAGGATGAAGAAGGGTGAGAAAAGGGCAATTATTCAGCAGCATCAAGCAGCAAGAGTGGGCACTGTAACGCGTTTCCTTACGCAGGAGGGCGAGCAGCCCAACGAAGGACACAGGACAGTTGTCGAAACGACAGAGGTCCGGCACATGAAGCAGAAAGGAGGACGAGGGTACGGTGGAACGAGCAGTAGACGGAAAAAGAAAGTCAGCTGCGGCTAAAATTAGAGAGGGACAGAGCCGAACAGAAGCCCGTCAAAAGCGATGGAGGGAGGGAGGGAGGGAGGGAGGCAGAGCAGCGCCGGCGGCCACTGATTATCTGGAGCTGCAAATGCGAGAGCGAAATACAGGGGATTCTGGACCGGCCCAATTTTAGCAGGAATCATTATCTTATCATTGATTGATTATTGATCGATTGATTGATTGATTGATTGTGGCTAAATGAGAAAAAGGAAATTTCACTGTCTTGATGGAAGCTCCAATGTTCAGACATGGCACACAATTGGAAATGCACATTTGCTCTCTCGCCCCGTCAGTCAGTTCAGTCGTCTTGCTTCTGATTCGCGACCTTTCTTTCGAGCCAAGTTCTCGGATGCGAATTCTGCTCGTTCTCTTCATCGTCATCACCGTCGGGAGATCCTTGACTGACGAATCATTTCATTTCATTTCCTGTGCGTTCTTTCAGGAGTTGACTCGTCTCTCAGACCTCTCTCTCTCTCAGACTCCCTCCGTCAGTGGCGTCAGAAGCTCCGATCCTCGAGGCTTTTCGAGATGCAAGCCAAATTCCTTTGTCTGTGCAACGGAACCAGACGAGCCCCATTTAGCGAGCACAAACAAATCTCCACAGATTTCGTTACGTTGCAAGTCCGATGGCTTCAAGATTGAAGACACCATGGCTTCTGATGCGAGAAGCTCGTCCATGGATGAACACGGATACACACGATGAAATAAGCTCGTGCTTACGAAATTAAGGCAAATTATGGCCAAATGAAGCAACGCCAAGGAACCAAAGAAGATCAAAGGCAAGAACATCGACAAAACATACTCTGAACATGATTCTCGAAGCAGTCAGTCTTTCAATAGATCGGGTGATTGTAGGCTTGTGATATCTCAGTCAATCTTTCATGATCATTTTAATTTAAAGCTGGCTGCCTTCACCATAGTCATGTTTCCTCCCCTATTTCGAATATTGGGTATACACTTATTATAGTGTTCAGACTTCAAACTATGTTTTTTTATTCCT